ACACACACACACACACACACACACACACACACACACACACACACACACACACACACACACACACACACACACACACACACACACACACACACACACACACACACACACACACACACACATCAGTAACAACCTCGCGGAGATAGTCAGGGAAGCTTCCTGTGACCTTCAAACGTCGAGATCTGATGAAAACTCGATTTTTTTAAAACGGGATAAAAACAATAACTTCCCGATTTTTGAAAATCTTCGATTTTCTTAGCGGGAATTTAAAAATAGTCAGTAGCGCTACTGCGCGAAAAAATCATGAAATGATTTTTTAAATTTCAAATGAATTTTTTTTAATCAGTAGTTAATACTTTCCTACGCTTGTTATAATAATAAAAAACTATAAATTGTTTCAAAATACATTAAAAAAGAAAAATAAATAATATAATTCAATAAAATGGAAAAAAAAAATTTTTTTTAATTTTCAAAAATAGAAAAAAAATAGTTATTATGTATCCACCATTACCGGATCGGGCTTAAAAGTTGAAGGAAGGATAGAAGTTTCAAATAGCAAATTTTCAAAAAAATCGACGTATGCACACAATTTGGAAAACACGATTAAAAATTTTAAATTAAAAAATCTTAATGAAAAATAATTTGAATATTTTTTTTTAATTTTTTTTCTGAAAAAGGCATTTAAAAACAAAAATTTTGAAAAAAAAATTTTGAATTTCGACCATTATTAAAAAATTTACGTGCAAAAAACCAAAAAAAGAGCGGTTTTTTTAAAATTCGATATTTTTTGAACGAGTGATCAAAAAAATTTCAAAATTTATCCGGAGGCCTCTTTTGAGGGGTACTGAAAAATACCAAAAAATTGAGAATATCTAAAATTTAAATTTTTGAAACCGTCCGATTTGGCGTGGAATGCCCCATATATATTCAATTTTTCTTGAGCGTGAATATTCGCCCGATGGCATGGGGCAGCACGGGGCACGGTGGCACGGGTGAAACAATTAAAAAAAAATTTCACATGTAAAAAACTTGAAAAACTATAAGTGCAATTGTTTAAAAATATCTTTTTAGTTGTAATTTAATTAATAAAAAAAATCAAAAATTTTTTGATGCGTGAAAAAATGGCAAAAATGACTATTTCACCCGTGCCACTGTGTCCCGTGCTGCCCCGTGCCATCGGGCGAATATTCACGCTCATTTTTCTTAGCAGGAATTAATTTATTATTCAACATTTCGACGTCGTGCATTTAATTTTTTAACGCTCAAAATTACAATACTATCTATTTACATAACTTTAACTTTTTTAGAAGTTATAAATACAAAAAAAAAAATTTTCTTTGAAATTCAAAAATTGATATTTTTTGAAAAACAAAAACCCTGTTCTAAAAATTTATGGCCATATCAGAAATTTTATTCACGAGAATTAACTTATTCTGAATTTAATAATTATCATATTTAATATAATAATTTTGCTAAAAATAAAGAACATTACTACAAAACTTCATTGTATTTATAAATACACGTAATAAAAATATTTTTCATTTATAATTCTTACGTTTTATACACTACATCAAAGCAAAATATTTTACTTTTGATAAAAAAGTTACCATTTATTTAAATTAAAAATATCACAACTTACAATAAATTATAACTCTTATTGGGCATACGAGTACAAAATTTTTTATTTAGTCGACACTTTTTCGCTGCTAGTCACACTTAAACTGAGTATCTTGCAAGAAAAACACTATCTCAACTCCCAAAAAATTTTCCTCAGGTATATTTTCATTACTCTTTTACAACTATAATCCTACATTATACAGTCATCTGAAAATGGGGATTATATGTTTACTCACTAATGAGTCTAATGACTCATCACTATTTAAGGAAATCCTTTCGCTCCACTTGAGTCAAAACAATTGTAGTAGTCAATATACGATAAATTAAAAAAAGAAACCCATAAAAATTCCTAAAATTAAATAATAAATAGTATATGAGCTTATAGGCTGCGTTCAGGTTTACTAAGTTCTGAGTAGGGCTGACTTTATCTACCAAAAAATTAATATTTAGACACACTTAAATAAATATACCTTGCATTGTTTTATTATAGATTTTTTAAGGAAATCCTTTCGCTCCAGTTGAGTCAAAACAATTTTAGTAGTCAATATACGATAAATTAAAAAAGAAACCCATAAAAATTCCTAAAATTCAATAATAAATAGTATATGAGGCATTAATGGTTGAAATTTTGAAAATAAAAAAAAAATTAGTTAAATACAAAAATTAATTTGATTCTTTCAAATCAGCTGCTAGTAACCTGTCCGTGATTTGGCAAAGCTGTTCTTCGGTTGTTTACATTTTCATTTGCACAATATAACCTTAACCATGTTTAAGTTTTTGCAGTCAGTGTAAATAAATGAATTAGTTTTAATTTATTGAATGGTCTGAAGCTCGCGCGATACGCAACTTTGCCAAATGTTTTGACTCCATTTTAACGTAGTTTACTTGAGAATTTTTTGTGATTTTTAAATATTAATTTCTCAATCAATATCTCGGTAACTGATATATTTTATTGTAAAAAAAGAAACCTGAATATTTCGAAAATCTAATTTTTAGTTTTTTTTTACTTCGTCTAATCCATGACTGATAGTATAATTTGAGAAATACTGCAAACGTCTGACTTTCTCGTAAGACTTTGAACAAATACTAACATTTAAAAATTTTATTTTTTCAAAAATTTGTTCGGTAAAGTATAATTTAAACCTCACTATTAGATAAATAAGGACCTTAACTATTAGAAAAAAATTGAATTTACTCATAATCTAATATTTTTTATTTTACATTGGCGGCGAAAGGACCTCCTTACAAATATTCCTTACAAAAATTAGTTTCAATAATACTCACCTAACTCTCATTATAATCTTGAATCTTCGACATTTAATGAACAGTTGATTTATTAAGAGTTAACACAAGAATGACGATGCAGGATTTGAAATTTTGAACCTTTTTTCAAGTCTCTAACTTTGTACATAATTACATTTAAAAAAGACGAAAGATACAGGAAAAGATTACAAAAAAAATATATATTCTGAACATATAATGGTAGTTTTTTTTAATTTAAACTCCTGTATACTTAACCTCATTTATACAATTATTATAATATCTTCTATTCTTGTTTCATTATCTACAAATATGATTAATATTAAACTATAATTCAAATTAAAAAATACTGAAAAGGGTCCATTAATTTTGAATATTAGATCATACTCACTTAGAAAAAAAAAATTCTTTTGAAAAAATGGACCTTGTTGTGATAAGAAATTAATTTGTTGAAAATTTTTATTGATTTTATTTCATAGCTGAAGAAATCAACATTTCTCTTACAGTAAGTTTTTTGTTAAAAAGAAATTTTAGATTTGGGAAGAAGAATTTGGTATAATGAATAAAATTTGTAAAAATATTGATTAATTGAATTTTTGATGATAAGCAATTTGAAATAAGCGTACTCAAATGAAAGGCCTCGATGAGCATAACAACGAGATGAACTAATATCTTAAAAAATTTCAATATTAAGGAAACGACGTTGTACTTTTTCACTGATGATATTTTTAATTTAAGCCAAAGTTTTCTTATTCATAATCTGTGAATCTTGGCAGTCGCATAGTGGCTGCAGGTTCCTAGTCAATCATTAATTATACTAATAATAATGAAAAAAAAATTAATATTATTGTTAAAAAAAAAAATTACCTGTGATGTTAAGTTTCGAAAAATCAACATCAAAGTACTCTTCAACTTTATCGTGCAACTCTTCATAAAATTTTATAGCACGTGGATCCCAGCAGTGTTCCGATTCACCACCATCAGTCTTGTCATTCCAACCACCCGTTTGACTTTCTTCATATTTATCCTTGCTAGCTCGCGGTGAAAAACTCAATTCATGATAATAATTTTTAATACAGTATGAATGAGATACAAGACATAAAGTTATTAGTTATTAATAACAGTAAAAACAATATTCTCACTGTAGTAGGCCCATTGGAAGACTCTCAATATTTGGTCCTCTGTGTTATCATCATCCTCAAATAGTCTCTTTGTTTTGTCGCTTTGAAGATCCTGACGCGACGTTTTTTTTCTCCGTGCTATTTATATCCCTGCGGTAATAAATACGATGACAAGCAAACAAATAAGTTTATAAACGTGACATAAGATTTGATATTAATATTAACTGCAGACTTATGTCTAGGTTGAAACTTTCTAGTATGAAAAATAAACTTATTTACGACCGTTGCTAGTCTTTTCGTAATTGGAAGTGTTTTTGTCATCGTTCTTCGCAACAGGAAACACTGATTTCACTCCACTGCTATTATCTTGCATTTCTGCATTTTCAGTCAATACTTAATTTGCTAAGTTTAATTTATTATTTTTATGAATTATTAATCCTAATGAAGATGTTTAACAACTCGAAATATTTAGGGCCAGTTTTTCAATCCGGAATAAAATTTTATCCGAGACAAAAGTACCGCCAATAAAATAAAAAAAAAATAAATAATTCAGCGACGTGATATTGCTCTCAGTTAGTTCTTCATGAATTTGGTCGTTTATTTAAATAAAAATAAATAAATATATCATGAAAATAATAATAACCTCTTATTGTGTCATTCATATAAATTATTTTTAATTAATTAACAAAATTATAAATTAATAATAGATATGTCGAACGCAAGATATGAGCTCGAAGGGCTCAAAAGCATAGAACAGCTACCTCTTTGAGCTCATAAAGCTCAAAATAACACATAAATTGTAATTTGGAGCTCGAAGAGCTCAACAACATTATAAGTGCAATTTCAAGTGCTTAGGTATGGAATTAGCGGGAAGTTACAGGGATCTCCTTCAGGGTCATCCGTTTTCCTAATTTTTATTTTATTTATTTACAATCAGGAAGTTGTCACATTGGAAGTGAATATTTCTATGATATGTGGCTAATGTTTATTTATTTTACTTCAAAATAAGTGACTGAATTCAAGAAGAATTACTTGTAGGCAATATCACCGTGCTGAATTATTTATTTTTTTATCATAATGGCAGTACTTTTATCTCGGATAAAATTTTATCTCGGATTGAAAAACTGGCCCTTAAAGTTAATAAAAGAGTTTAATTTTATAATTTTATTTGGTATAAAAGTAAAATAATAAATGGCATTTACTAGGATACAAGTTTTCTAATTAAGTGACTTGAAATTATTATTAAATAATTGTTTATTTTATTTTTTTTTCTTGTTACTCAAATACTGTTTCTTCATTTTGGAGCGTTCCACTAACTTCCGCCATCCGACAATATTTGTGTGACGTTCGAATTCAGATTTATTAATTTATTTATATCTTGACGAAACATGGGATGATTTCCATGATTTTGATTTCCACGCATCCTAGAAAATAAATAAATATTATTTAAAACGAATTAAATTAAATTATAGTTAATATTCATTTATACACAATTATATGATACTGAAGTTAGCTGACAATTACCAATTTTTCAAATCTTATAAAATCCAATTACAATAATAAAAATAGGGTAAAAAACCCCAAAAGACATTAATGGCGGGGACCCCATTACTGACACTTTATTTGATTTTGGTACTTATCCAATTAATTGAATCATTAATTTCAATAATGAATATATTATTTCTAATCTTTAAGACCTTTAGATCAAAAAAAATTTTAATTTTTATTCCAAGTAGAACATTTTTTCATTGAAAGAAAAAGTGCCACTAATGGGGGTTAAAGGTGCCACTAATAGGGTCTTTTTACCTTTTAAAAATTTTCAATTATCATTTTTTTTAATTTTTACATGTGGAATTATTTTTATTAAATTTTTTTTTTTTTAATAATTACATTGCTATAGAATTCTAAAAAAATTCCTTATGTCCGTAAACTTCAGTATTATACAATTATGTGTATTACTTATAAAATACAAAAATTGTAGTAATAATTAATTATTTAAATTTATACTTACAAATTGTTTCTTACATCATTTACGCTTCTTCCGATAATACGTAATTGAGCATTATAATTCTCTTGACGGACAGGATCAGGATTCTCCGCAAAATAGTTTCCAACTGTTTCAAGAACGTGATTAATTAGAAATTCTTCTAATCTGTCTCTATCAGAGTAACGTTGCTCTGGGGGTCCACTACCGCTTGCCATTTTTATTTATCAATGTCTTTTGAAGAAAAAAAAATAGTTAGATAAAAAAAAAGTAAAATTTGTACAATACTAAAGTTAGCCGACGTTTTTAATTTTTTTATTTATTTTTCAATAATTAAATTAGAACAAAAAAATATTTTTTAAAAATTGCAATTTTAATTTATTAAAATTTCTAAGGTAAAAGTCCCTATTATGAGACACTTTTCAAGGTAGGTTGAACATTCCTGCGAGTAATTAATCCATTTAAGAAAAAAATACACTTTTAATCGCTTTATACGATAATTTGATGATCATTAAATCAATATTTATATTGTTTTTATAGTTTTTTTGGTCAAAAATTAATTAAATTATGGTTTTTTTGGGGAAGCTACATGACCCTATTTATGAGACACTTTAAAGTCACATGTCCCAGTGTCTCGAACCACAGGACCCTATTTTTGAGACAGTTAAAAAATCAGCAAAGTTGATCAAATTTTATATATTTATCAATTTTAGACAATCGTATTTACAAAAGAAGGAATTACTTTTATTTTTAATTAACTTATAAAAAATTTTTTATCAGTTAAACAATTAATCAACGCAAATTATTGAATTAAATCTATTGTTCTTTCTTGATTTTTTTTGTCATTCCTTGATTTGAGCCATTAATTTTTTTTTCTTCTTGTAATATTTTTTTATTGTTAAATTTTTCTTCTTTCATGTTTTTTCTGGATCTAAATTTTTTTTTATAAGTTCTGAAAAAAAGTCACATTAAGTTAAATTTATTGAACATGAATGTGAGGTTGACATTTACATACCTAATTGATGAACTTTGTTGTTTATAAGATTTGTAGAATTAATATTTGTGAGCTCTGTTATAATCTCTCTGGGTTTTGCAGATATAAATATGTATCATCAGTAGAGATAGTTTGATCAATTAGTTTGTCTTCACTGAAGTCTTTAGAAGTGCACTGTATTACGTTATTGCTATCAATTGATGATTCTTGAAGACTAACTTGATTAGATTCATATGTAACCGTAAAAAATTGTTCATCATTAATTAAATTATTTTGTTCACAGTTTATCACATTAAAATGATTGTCTAAGACAGTAACGGATTGTTATACGTCTTCAATAATTCAGTTTTTGTCACATGTGACCCTATTACTGCTCTGTACAACACCCACTGAACAATAACATCCTCTTCTTTTAAAGATAACACTGTCACTGGCCCAGTTCTAATTTTTGCCTTCTTAGGACTAATACTTTTTCATTTAGCAAGGGTAACAATCGGTACTCCATAAACAGCAGCTGCTTTTCTCAAGGACAACTCTGTGTCTTCCATTGCTTTTAGAGCTTTTTTTATATTTCACGAATTATAATTACTTAATCCTTTTAATTTTTTTTTCCTTCATTTTATTATTCATATTGGAACACAACACTTTTTTTTTTTTTGGTTGAATTTGATGATTGAGTTTTTGTCACTTTGGAATTTTGTTTATGCTTCATTATCTCAGCTTTTTTTTATAATTTACTTTTTACTTACTCTGAAATAATAAGAAATAAATAATATATTTTCAGAATCAATATACAAAAAAATATTATAAATTTATCCAAAAGATTTAATTAAAAAACAGAAAAACTTGTTGACAAAGTTATTCTATGTTATGATTTGAGGTTAGGCTCATGATCTAAAACTATTTGACTTAAAATACTTACTTTTAGAAAAATATTTGAGGTTTAATAGTAGCCAATATTTTATAACATATAATTATACTATTTTTATAATTAATATCACATATTAGCAATATAAAATCTTATAAATGTACACTGTCTCACTTAATCGGGAGAAGCCGAAAAACATATGTCCGTATTACACTATACACCGAGAAAAGTGTCTCATAAACCGGGGCATTCACGTAAATAAGTGTAGGTATTGTGAGACACTCAGATTTATAATATTGTAATAAAAAAAAAACGCATAAATGTGTATAGAAATAAAGTTTATTACTCATCAGCTTTCAATTGATATACAATTTAATATAAAAGTAGAAGACACAATGAAATTACACTAATATAAAAAACTAGGTAGCCGTTGTCGTTTTACTATTCTCGGTCGTGGCTTTGAGCACAGATAACAAACCTCGCACTTTAATAAATATTTTTAAAAAACAGTATGGAATTAATTAACAACCAAAGTCGAAAATTGCTTTTGGAATAGATGAAATAATATATTTATTATACTTTTGGTATGCTAGCGGTGTGTTTTTTTTTTTTATAAAATAGTATTTTTATGTAGTGTATCATAAATGGGGACATCGTCTCATAATAGGGACTTTTACCTTAAATGTCAATTTTTTTTCTCATTTTTTTTATGCAGTAACTTATTTATTCGAAAAATGATTAAAGTTACCCAAGCGTCACATAAAAAACTGTCGACTTTTTGGTAAATTTTATTTAACAAAAAGTCAGAAATTAATAATTGTCAACTTAAATTCAACAAAATATTATCAAAAAAATTTTTGTGCCGCTTGGGATTATTAATTAACTGATAAATTAATTTTCATTAAGTTTACAGGTTAATCAATAATAAGCAGAAAAATTACTTACGTGGTTATTTGCGAAAGAGATCCAATGGAAATGTAATAGAGTGTCGAGTGTAGTGGGGTCAAGTGTCACACACACACACACACACACACACACACACACACACACACACACACACACACAGATATTTATGAATGTATGTATATTTAATTAGGCTATAGTGACAGATTAAAAAATAAAAACTAAAAATCCCTATTTTGTTTTTGGTACATTAAAATGGGAATTCGGCGCCAAATTTAAAAAAAAAAGAGTCAAACGTCTAAATATGAAAAATATTTATAGGGTTGCGGTCAACCAGTCAGATCGAAAGCATTCAAAATTATCAAAACTTTAGAAAATTAAAAATTCCGCTACATTCAAAGTTTATAAAATACATTAACTTAAATAGAATACTAGCCAAAAAACAATTTTGTAAATTCTATTTTATATTTACTTTTTAAGTTCTAGTAATTTATTAATTCAGAATGTTGTCAATCTGTCTATTTGACTGCAACCCAAAAATTTTTAATTACTTAGCCGATAAAAAAGTATTTGTTTTCATTAATCGATACGTGCTGCGTTGTTTATCGAATCTGTCTCCTAACTAACCTCTTTTCAAACGTCTAGTTGCTAAATCATCGAACAATAAATTTATTTATACAAATAAATAAACAAAACACACGAGTTCAACAATTTATAATACTCAAGGTAGTAAGTATCCTATTTTTATTTCATGAAATGGCAAGGTTCAAGAATGGCAAAATTTGCATTGAACCAATTGAACCTTCACAGAAAAAAGTCAAAAGGATGAAAAAGAAGAAAGATTTGGAAAAAATGAGGAAAAATATTGTTGCAGCTAAACAGCAAATGGTAATTTTGTTTAATTTTCATTCCTATGTAGTTAAATTTATTAAATAATTATAATTAAATTTTTTTCTGCACTTCTATATTATCACACATGTCAATTCATGACGTAGATAAACATGTTGACTGGGTTAATGCATCGAAAAGATTATTTATAATGGATATAAGCAAAGTCTGTCTTATTTGACGGAAATTCAATCAAATTTCACTTCAATAATAATAATACCCATCAGCTCTTTACTTTGGTGCATAATCGTTGATTCTCTGCTTGATTTTATTAATGTATTTTTCAGAAGCGGAGTAATCGAAAGCAGGAGAAGATAGCCAAGAGTTCATTTGAAAAAACTTTGAATAATTTTGCTGAAATTCGTCAAAAAAATGTGAGTATAATCCAAGTGTCTTTTTTTTTTTTTTTATTATATTACTAAACGTCAAAATTTCTATTCAACTGAAGAATCGGAGAAATTTAGAAATAATGAATTTTTTAAAATGATGAGTAATTCAATTACAATTATTTAACATATTTCGATGCAACTAATTAATTTATTTGTCATAGGAAGATGAAACTCAGGGCTATCCAGATAAGAAAGTTAAAAAGAAAACAATTTGTGCCCGGCTTTTACCTGAACAGGTAAATATTTTAGTTTCTTAACCTTATAATAATTCATAAAACAATTTTTGTTTAATAATTACAAATTTTTCAGAAAAAAATTAATATTTTTTACTCTGGATCTAAATTTTATATTGTTATAAAAAAAAAGTTTGATTATTTTTTAGTTTCTCAATCGAACCATAGAAATGATATTTTCAAAAATTTTTCCAAGCAACTGCATGATTTTTTTCTTAAAGTTCATTAAAAGTAGAATAATTGAACAAATAATTTTTTTTCAATAATATCCATTTTTTGATAAAAAATTTTTTTTAACTCTTTTTTAAAAAATCGACATGTTTAGATCCTTTTTTTTTTTTTTTCAAACTCCGAGTAAGGAAAAAAATACTGAAAATTGCTAGACTTATATAAAAACAATTTATCAGCGATTTTAGGTCGACATAAAATGTTTGTTAACATTAAAAGCTTTAAAACTAATTAAAAAATTTATTTTTTTTAATTTTCATAATTATTATCGTAAATCTACCATGAAATATAATAATTTGAAAAGAAAAATGTTTCATAATTTTAATTTTTTAGACTTTTGATGCCAAATAAACAAAGTTACCGTGAAACAAAACATTTATCAAAAATTTCTTATCATAAAAGCTCTTAAACGATATAAAATTATTTTTCATTTTTTAATCAATCTAAACTTTACAAGCATTTTATTTAATTTTGTTTCTTGTTTCTGTGAATTTTAGTCAATTGGAATATTTAAAAACGGTGCAATGGGTAAAGAGGTAAGAAGACCTGGAAAACTTCCTTTTAGTCAACAAAACGAAGCACGTTTACAAGGTGATATTTTTAAACTGTTAAATGGCGAAGAAATCCCATCCCCTGGGTAAGTTAATATAAACTTTTATAAGAAAAATAATAACAATAATACTAGTAATAATAATAATTAATTTAAGTCACTTAATTAGAAAACTTGTATCCTAGTAAATGCCATTTATTATTTTACTTTTATGCTAAATAAAATTATAAAATTAAACTCTTTTATTAACTTCAAATATTTCGAGTTATTGGACATCTTAACTAGGATTAATAATTCATAAAAATAATAAATTAAACTTAGCAAATTAGTGACTGAAAATGCAGAAATGCCAGATGATAGCAGTGAAGCGAAATCAGCGTTTTCCGCAGCGAAGAATGACGACAAAAACACTTCCAATTACGGAAAGACCAACAATAGTCGTAAGTAAGTTTACTTTTCATACCAGAAAATTTCATTCTGGACATAAGTCTGCAGTTAATATTAATATCAAATCTCATGTCACGTTTATAGACTTATTTATTTGCTTGTCATTTTTATTACTCCAGAGATATGAATGCGAAGAAAAATAGCACGGAGAGAAAAAACGTCGCGTCTAAGGATCTTCAAAGCGACAAAACAAAACGACTATTTGAGAATGATGATGATAGCACAGAGGACACGAATATTGAGAGTATTCCAATGGACCCACTGCAGTGAGAATATTTTTTTTACTATTATTAATAATTTTATGTCTTTCATCTCATTCATACTGTATTAAAAATTATTATCATGAGTACAGTTTTTCACCGCGAGCTAGCAAGGATAAATATGAAGAAAGTCAAACGGGTGGTGGGAATGACGAGACTGATGGTGGTGAATCGGAGCACTGCTGGGATCCACGTGCTGTAAAATTTTATGAAGAGTTGCACGATAAAGTTGAAGAGTACTTTGATGTTGATTTTTCGAAACTCAACATGACAGGTAATTTATTTTGAATAATAATAATATTAATTTTATTTTCATTATTATTAGTGTGATTAATGATTCACTAGCAATCTGCAGTCACTATGCGACTGCCAAGATTATAGATTATAAATAATAAAACTTTGGCTTAATGATTTTTTAATATTTCTAATGAGACTTTACATAGTTTGAGTACTTTTGAAATAAATTTGAGGAATAATATTGCTATGACAGGATAAATTATAAATAATTTAACGGACAATTGTGACGGAACAAATTAATAGAACCAACAAACTATTCAAAACTCCTCCGAAAACTTAACATGAATAATTGACTTTTACTGAAAAATATATAAAACGGTGAAAAGGCACAAATTATTATCAAGACATTTCTGATGAAATCAAATTTAACTATGAAAATTTCTTTCAAAATAATAATATGATTTTCACAAAATTTTTCGCACTCTCTTAATTATTTAAATTATAAATTACTATCGCTGAAAAAATATCAAACCCAATCTACGACAAAGATATACCCGTTACAAAATTTTTCTTAGTAGACATTCACATGTACAAAACAAAATGAATAAATAAACATATGACGCTCATCGTGAAATTCAAATCTATTTATAACTATTTCGAAAACTTAAAATAAAATAACTATTGCTGAAAAGCATATGAAACATTGAAAAGGTACAAATTCAGATCAAGGGCTATCTAATGATACTAAATTTAATTTAAAAAATTTATTTTATCATATCAATACATCGGAGACAAAATTTTCCGTATTCTCTTAATTATATAGATTATAAAATAAGTTAAAATATTTACAAAACTTTGAATTTATTTTTGGCCAAAATATTAAGGATACACAAAAATTTCTAATGAATTGTTTCTCTAGAAAGATTTTTTTAGCGAAAATTCTAATTAAAACAATATAAATAAACTTTTTTCGTGTTACATTAGAATGAATAATGAGTTAGATCTCTTCATTAATAAACAAAATGAAAAATATAATTAATGTGTTACATTACTGAGAGTAAAAGATAATTAAATAACCATAATTAGCTTCACGCACTCTAAAAATTACACAAATGATAGTTTAATGACGTGGAACTTTTACTTCTAGAATGAAAAATTGAATCAAGTGTAAATTTAATCAATTAAATTATAAATACTAAATTTAATAAAATAATAATAATAAATAATTTTTAGATCCAATTCTGGAAATAAAATCAAGGCTCGCAAACGTTTACGAGAGGACCCACAGCAAACAATGCGCATCATCAAATAACAATGACACTGATCCATTTCCAAGAGCAAGTACATCTCAGCCTCATTCGGAGTGGAGTGCTGAGGCGCAGGCATGCACCGGAACAAGTGATAATAACCGCCTCACCCCATTAAACCGATTAACTAAATCAAAACCAACACCTCATGACTACGAGACAGTCGAGGCTCGAATAATAAACGCAATGACATCGTTACCCACTGGACCAGAGTATCCTCTGGCAGACCCATTTTTCGGTGCTACATCACCTCAATACGCAGCCTCGTTATCCACCGTGTCATCAGATACGTTAATCCTGAGTAATCACGGTAACGTCGATAAGACAACTACCGACCAAGACATAAACACTAGTCCAGCTAGCAGATCAGTCGTCGACTTACTGTTTGAAAATACAGCCCAGACAAACTTCATGGACAGTGTAACCTCCGTATCATCGCTGCCCCTCGGCTGGGATGCTAACGCCGAAAATCAAAGGAATTTAATTCGTCGTAATTTAAAGTACGTGCCAGGTATACCGCGGAGAACTCAACCACGCGAATTTTTATTTGATGTTGAGAATCTAACTAAGGTTAAAGCTCCACCAACTCAAGCTCATCCTAAAGTAACACTACTACAAGAGCAAGCACAAGCACATCCCAGAGTTACACAAACCCAAGTTCATCCTCTGCAAACAGAACCTTGTCTTAAAATCAATATTCCCAACAATCATGAATCCTTTCCACGTGAATTCTTTCTTCCTCCATTGCTCGATGATAAATCTCTATACTCTAAACCACTCAACAAAGAATCACCTTACTATCCGACTCCAAGCTTCGTAATGCATCGACTGAATAATGAAAAAACTAAAAATATTAATACTGACAGTAAATCAAAAGATAATTTTATCTTTCCGAAGCTAAATAATAAATTCGTTAATCGAAATCCTTATTGCGAAATAATAAAGCCAAAAAATGATCAGTGGAATATGAATAACCAATTCCTTCCTCCTCTTCCTCCTCCTCCTCCTCCTCCTCCTCCGCATCTTTCAACAAGAACCGCTGATGCCGGGACGAGTTCACGTTATCCTTTTACGTTTTCAGCCAACGACTTTTCGAAATCACGTACCGGGATTCTGAAAGACGACTACGCAATATTTAATGGAGAGAAACACGAACTCAATAAACCCGTAATAGGTATTGCTAGCACTAAACCACCTGGGGAACAAAGAAATTTAAATAGTCACAAACAATTTATGTATACTTCACGGGATTTAAATGCTAAAAGTTTTAAATTGTTTCCCGAGTACAATCATCAAGACGGAACACATCAAATCCAGTCCTTAAATCACCAACACATACCTCAGTCAATGATGTATGAGTCAATACCGATAAGAAAAGATTTTTTCGAGAAAGATAATGACTTGTCACAGAAATCTAAGGCACCAAGAAATTTAGGGTATGAAGAAATGAAAGGGTATGATTTAAATAGAGCCAAGTTGTCTTTTCTTTCAGCAAACACTGATAATTATAAATTGCAAGATAATGGAATCAGTGATACAGTGCTGGAGAATTTGAAAGTCCTGTCGTTTGAAGAAGATCAATACCCTGAAAAGTTATTTGCAGATCATCGACATGATTATTATGATAGTCATAATCATAACTTTGGTCATAATAATCATGATAATCATTATAGTAATCATCATAGACGTGAAGACCCGCATTATTATCAGCAGGGTTATTGTCAGCAGGAACAGCTGGAGAAACATTTTAAAAACTTATCCCAGCCCTCGAAGTACTTTGCGGTGATGAATGAACATCAAAGTTATCCGCGAGTTCCACAACGAGTTCCCATTTACTTTAATGAACCGGGCTCGATAAATAATCAACCCACTTTTACTGATACCAATGCTAGAACTAATGTTGGTTATCATGGTCCTGACAACTCGGAACCGTATCAGCCTCAAGATCTCCAGCGTAAGCAGATCCAATCTGGGGTTCCCATTGCGGTTTTTGCTGCTAAGGATAGAAATTTATTTTTAGGCAGTAAAGTTCCTGATGCGCGACACTTGTTCGATGAAACCAAAGATCCTGGGAAGGATAAAGCTAAATTTGTGAGATTCAATGAAGATGTTAGAACTGTGAGAGCTGGTCAGATGCCCGGAAACCAAGTGCGGGAAATTATTCTTCCCAATGGGCAAGTAGGGTTATTTTTTCCTCAGACTTTTGTGAATAGTGAGAACAATAAGGATGATGGATACTTGAATCAAAATCATTATACGAATCATCGGTAGTCGTTGTTATTCAATAGCTGGCTATTTAGAGTTGTAAGTAGATGTTTATTCGAATTACGGATAGATTAAAACGATTAATATTTAATTGTTTGAATTTTGTATATTTATCCGCATCTGGTTATGCGATTTTGTAATTTTTTTTTTTTTTGTAATAAAAATTGATTGATACTTGGATTTATTTGTACAAAATTTTAAAGTTTTTGGTAATTTATACAATAGATGTTATGTACAAAATTTATCTTTATTTCTTCACATTAACACTACCTGAATTTTTTTAGGAAGAAGTGTTGATAATTTTTTTTTTACATGGTAAATTTATATTGTTAACAATAATTGTATAATAAAGATGTACAATGAAAAAAAAAAAAAAATTGACTCCAGATAAATATTATCTTCCAAATTTCACTCTTACGTCGTAGTATTCAATTTGAATTAATTCAAAAAATCCGCTCAAATGATTTTTTTTTTGTATTTTGAATAAAAATACTTGTTATAACCTGTGATATCTTGTAAAGAGAAAAAAAAAGTACTGCAGTATAGCTAAATATTTGAATAAGCTTCCCTCGCCGCAACTATTGTACCTGAGAAAGGTTCTAATCATGAAGAATAGAATAACATACTCTCCATGATTTTAATTTTAGGCATATCATAGGAAATTTGAGATATTGTTTGAAAAATTCTGAAAAAGTAAAATAATAAATTACGATACCAATTTTTAACTAATTAAATAAAAATACAAATTTACGAATAAAATTTTTCTTATGATCAGTGTACTTGGGAGTAATATTCATTACCGAGAAAATGGCCGTCATAATTTCTTTTTAAAATTTAGCTTTACAATCTGGATAAAATGACAAAGGTGAATAATAGTATTATTACCTGAAGTAGATTTTACTTTTCATTGAGAAATGAAAACAATTATAATGAGGAGAATAAAGTATTCTTTGTTCTTTTAATTATAATTAAAATATATTTTTTATAAATTACTTACATAAAAAGTGAATGCGAAATATTAATGAATTTTTATTAGTTTAAGATTTACTCATTGATATTTTGAAGCCCTAAGATAACAATAATTTCGTTTTCTTTTTTAAATTTAAAATTTTCGTTTCAACAACAAATTCTTTTATTCAAAATATAAAAATCAACTTTTTATTTAAATCTATTCTGAAAGATTTTGAAATTTATTTTTGATGATATGAAAAATAAAAAAAATCCGAGGGTTGTTTATATTTTTGAAGCAAGTCGATGATATCTTGAATCAACGTCATTGTGTATCTCAATTGTCGAGAAAAAATTGTTAAGTAAAAAATTTAGATCTTGTTTTTAAAATAATTGTTTGATTCAATTGATAAAATTTTTGAATAAATAAATTTTTTTTTTTTATTGTGAAACATATAATGAGGAGAATTCGAACGCTTACCGTCGTTTATTTTTTTTCAAAACATAATTATAATCACATTAAAGAAGAACATAAAACCATTGAAATTCTAAGAGAAACAAAACCTAAAATTGCATTAAAGAATAATGCGCAAAAATAATTTTTCTTTTCATGAACAATAAGAAGAAAGTTACACTTTACCTTAAAAAAAAATTCAAATCTTACAAGAGTAAAAAAAATGTTTTTTTTTATTTGTCAATGAAAGCCTCAACAAAGTAAATAAAAATTATAAAAAACTGAATGAATTAAACGAACATATGTCGACAGATAAAAAAAAAGGCTTTTTAAAAAAAAGAAATAATAAAAGATACAAATTCTCCAAGGCCTGACACTGGTTGAAAATTGATAACTTTTACCGGAAGCAGATAGTAAACAATCGCACAAAACACCCGGGAGGGAAGTAGCGTCTACGCCCTCGTTTTTCTCATCAATCCAAAGGACGACTGTTTGAACATCAGTCTGTTGTAACTTAACCACTCGTTTGGGCTTTAACCACCGAGTAATTGATAATTTTCAGTACATAATTTGTAACACCACCCAATAAGTGATACAACCAATCAATTAATGTCAATCGGAGTTAAAATGCGGACTTTTTTGGTGCTCTTTTTCGTGACCTGTGGATGTTTCGCCGGCTCCTGGGATAACAATAATTGTAAGTACAAGCGAAAATTTTTAAAATAAAATTTATAATTGAAAAGTAAAACTAATTCATTTGTTTGGTTATTTAAAACAGCTCGATGCCCGCCAGTGTTATTTCCAAACGGGAAAGTACGATCGCGCGGTCGTGGAAGGATTATCAGATTTAATTGCTTCGAAGGATTCACCCTAGTCGGCAATAAATACTCGACGTGTGTTCGCGGCACTTGGGACACACCAACCCCAGTTTGCGTTAGTAAGTTTATATAAGTTGTTGTTGTTCTTGTTATTTAATGTCGCGGTTAATTTATATTTAAATCAACTTACTAAGCGCTAATAAATACATGTCACCTTGACAATTAATTATTTTATAATTTATATTGTAACTGGAACTTGCATGTGCTGTATACATAGATCTAAAATTACCCACAAATGTCGGGTACTGCACTGAAAAAAGAAAATTAACTTGAATGAAGAGAAAAAAATTTTGAATCGATAAGATAGTTTTGAAGAATTTAATTGTCTCGAATCTATACGAAAAATTCTTTAATCAAGTAAAAATTACTTAAACCAAGAAATTAAGATCATTCTGGTTTCAGCGTTAAAAAAAAAAGCCAATTTTTATTATTTTTTCACACAGATACTATTATAGATATTAATATAAAATTTAATCAGCTCAACTCATATACTTTTGAATAACAGAAAAAATATTTAACTTTATTTTTTTTTATATTTTTTATATGAATAAACAACGGGTGAATAGAACTCTTCAAGAAGTTTAGTATGTCGCTGACGTACATGATAACTTGATAACGGCTCATCTAAAACACGAAAACCAAAATTAGTTACCTTCAATATATAAGTAGCTATTGTATGAACTACAGAAATTATTATTTAATGATAAATAACAAAATGGCTGAGATTGAAAAAAAAAAGAAATAAATAATTAGGCTTTTTCACAGATTTTAGTCCTAAAAAAATAATAAAAATCAAAATTTTGATTTGATTGTAGTTGATGCGATAATAGCTACTACTATGTATAATATTTGGTTTAATGGTTTAAATTTCATCAAGATCAAGTCACTGGTTTCGGATATATTATGTACGTAAGCCAGAAAAACATAGTTCTCAGATAAACGCATTTAAAGTTTTTTAATTTTAAAAAAAAAAAAAAAAAAAAAAAAAACAATTTTACCTAAAATCAATCAGCGATGCCGGCACCATACAAACTCCTTTCAGCTTGTTCAAAAATTAGATTTTCTTTCACTCAAAAATCCACATAAATCTCGTAAAATAATATAGTTATAGTGGTCCGATTACTTAAAAATTTTAATACAATACTTTTAGATATATGTATTTTAAAAAATATTAAAAAAAAAATTATTTTTTTAAAAGTCACAAATCAGAATGTTTCCTTAAACCAAGGAGAATTTCTTAGTTTAACAATTTTTCTACTCAAATCAAGAAGATTAAGTTCTTCAAAATTATTAACTTATATATAATTCAAGTAAATTTTGTTTTCTATATTATTACTCCCAGCTACAGGTATAAAAAGTGTCAAAATTTTTATTTATTTATTTAAAATTTTCAGATTCACAATGTCCAACGTTAGCGACTCCAGATCATGCATTAGTAGCGTCTAAATATAACGGCGCAATATTGATGTACTTTTGCGAACCAGGACACGTATTGGTTGGAACTGCTGAAATTTACTGCAACGGAAAGCAATGGAATGGCACTGCTCCTTATTGCAGAGGTACATTTACTCTATTATTGTTACATAGTATAATTTTATTTTATTTTATTAATTTTTTTGGAAGCGTATAATAAATTTGAGGATTTTCTTTATAACTGTGAGCTTTCAATTGTGAAAAGAATTTCAGATACGACCGCCACGGCGCCGACAAAATGTGATTTTGAAAAACCGGATCTCTGCTGGTGGGAACAAGATCCACGACATGATTTCGATTGGCAAAGACACAATTTTGAGACTCCTAGTTCACACATTGGGACCGGACCAACGTATGATCACACTCTTGGCGCCGGAAATGATGGTATCGTATCGTTTTTTATTTTTATCTTGTGATTATTCTTTATCTTTGACTTTGATGCAGCTACAATTAATTGTGTAGTTTTTTGTTGTTATTATTATTTTTTTTAGTTTTATCGTTATTTATTTCGTTGAGAGAATAAGGAAAATTTTTTAACGGGCACATTTATAAAAAATTTTTTCACAGACAAATATGGTAGCGTTAGAGAATTTTTGATTTGAACTTGAACCTTTTCCATGTTTTTTATGTTTTTTGGTGAAAAAAATATTTTTAATGTCAAGTTTTTTGAGGAGTTTAATAATTCCATCGTAATTTTCATTAAATTACTGGCTATTAATCCTATTATAGTAATATTATTAAAATTTATTGCAAAAGTAATCAAACTATGTATGTTGTGATTAAAAATATTGAAAAATCACTTAGCCAAAGTTATTTTATTCGTTATTTGTAATTCTCAGAAGTTATATAATTACTGCAAGTAGCTCATTATAATTATTATTGTCACTTAACAAAAATTGTACATCAAAATTTTTACAATGATTTAGTTATAATTTTATTTTCATATTAAATTAAAAAGAAATTAAATTTAAATTAATGTACTTTAATGTGTTAGTTTGATTATTTCCTTTGTAATAATTACTTGGCTAACAACACATTGGAATGTTAATTTTGCCTGTTCGGAATAATTTAGGCCAATTATTTCAAACAATTGAACAAACTCTGTTCTTACTGAATGAATAATCGGGTTTTTCATCTATTTATAAAAATTAATAAAACAATCTCGACGCAAATCAATAGATTAAGTGGATAAACTTGAATATAAGTGACGTACTTAAGAAAATCTATTCACCGGCTTATGAAGAAAAAAATATATAAAATTACAATACAATGCAATTACAAGTTAGGATGAATGGCATTACAAGGTAATAGTGCCGTAAGTGTTGTGTGTAAAAGGTAAATACTCTCGTAACTTGTAACTCAACAGCTTTCAGAGTAAAGTCTACAAACTTTTGAAGAAGTGCATTAGAAGTATATGACTCGTCGGATATTTTATTTGAGATTGATATCGCCAATGAAAACCCAATGAGCTGGTCTTGAGTAAACAATTCTGTTTTTATTAGTTCAATAGATGTTTCATCAATTTATGATCGATGCATGTAATAATTGATTAATCGATTTCATTGTAATTTGATTTACGCACACATAAATAATGTTATCGAGTCAATATTTGGGACCTGATTTTAACCGAGTATAATAATTATTTTCATTATTTTTATTATTTTAATTATAATAACATTCTTGTTTCAGGTTACTATCTTTATATTGAAGCTTCCGGTCGACTTACGAATGATACTGCACGAATAATTTCCCCTTTATATAATGCGTCATATACAGACTCCGGATGCTTTTCATTCTGGTAAGTAAATAAATAATTTTCTAACTAACAATTATTACTATTACTTTTCAACATAAAAATAAAGAAAATTAATCATGTAAAAATTAAGAATAAGAGATTAAATCTTGTTTTTTCTTTAAATGTTAATTAACAAAATTAGGTAATTAAATTGAAATAATGATAAATCTTAATTAAAATTTAATTTAATCATGATAATAGGTATCACATGTTTGGCGCAGGAATAGGCGCACTGCGTGTCTACTTGAAAGAAGAAAGTACAGAGACACTAAAATTAATGTTCGAGAAACGGGGCGATCAAGATAATCGTTGGCTACATGGGCTGTTTGATCTTCCAAAGACAAACTCAAGTTTCCAGGTAAGTTTCATTTCAGCTAGTTTCACCTAGCAACTATTTCCATTTCGCACATCAAATTCTTGAGTTAGCTGTTCCTCAGATTTACGTGCTAGACTGGATGCATGACGTGTAATATAATCTAATTAAGTGACACTTTTGTTCGCAGATAATAATTGAAGGCGTACGTGGCATCAACTATGTCAGCGATATAGCGATTGACGATGTCGCTATTCTCCAAGCTGACGAATGCACTCAAGCAAGAAGAATTGATTCTGATACTACAGTCCGTAGTGTTACTGATGATGGTAAATATTAATATCTGAAATTGAAAGACCACAAAATAACATTTCAGTTATTTTATCAATTCAATTTTTTTATAAAACAAAAAATTCAATAATTTAACGAAGTTTTTTTCAATACATTGCAATACCAAAGAACCGGATTGATTTTTTGTTTTAAATTTAATTAATTTGTGAACTCTCAAATTCCAACAAACAATTTTTTTTCACAAACTGTTAATTGGAATTAAAAAATTGAAATGTGATCATGAATTTAAACTTTGTTATTTCCATTTTATGAAATCTGTTTTGACGTAATAACTGGCATCAGATATTTTTATCTTTGAACAAAATATTTTCGGACAAAATATCTTTTCCCAAATTTATTTTATAAAAAACTTTTTTCTTTCTAAATTCGTAAAAAATCAATTTAGACACAAAAAAAAATATATAAAGAAAAAGAAAACCTAAAATTGTTTATTTAAAGTACCAAAAAATAGGACTAAAAATTTTGCAGATTCTTTTGAAATGGGACAGCTGAAATATTACTTTTGTTCGAACTATTCTTATAATTCCAATACTATTATCATAAAAAATAAGCACGACATTCACAATTTTTTTTTCTTTATTTATTTTTTTATTAAGTCAGGATAAAAATATAACTAATTTTACAAGTTAGACATACACCACTCATAAAACGACTATAAATATTGTCATTTTTTCAATGAAGTAAAATATCATAATCTAACGCTTCTGGTTTTTGATTAAACTAATAAAATTAAAAATAAATTACAGTTTAAAAAACAAACAAAAATATGCCTTAATCAAAAATTAAACTAAAAGGTAAAAAATAATTTTTTACAGTGATTTTCAATAAAAACAGAATAATTAATAAAAATAACAAAAAAGTTCATTTTGTTGTTAAAAAAAAAATAAAAACTTGGGGTACTTTTTAAGATATTTTTGTAACAATTTACCTTTATAAATATGCACCAATTAAAAAAATCATTTTCTAATATTTAATTTAGTTTGCTAATAAATAATTTTATTTCTTTGATTAATTTATCTTGAAGATATAATTTTTTTGAGACTTTTTGTCGTATTACAACTAAAATAAATGAATTATTTCCAGATCAAATAGAAATAATAAATGCACTACAAAGTTGTCGCGGTAGATGCGGTAATATACCTGGAATAAATACTTGGACAACAATTATCCCATTGTCCTCGCCCGATGCCTGTCAGTGTTCTCTCGAATGCGCTGAGAATTCCACTTGTTGCCCCGACTTCGCTGAGTATTGCATTCTAGGTAATTACACAAAATATCATTTTATTATTTATTGTACTCCTACAGATAGATTAAACCTTCATACTTGATTAATTCAGCCGTGACAGATTATCCATTGTCAGCGTCAACAAGCGAGGAATTAAATCCAACAACAAAATTAAACCCTTTGATAATTACAATAGATACAAAGGATGAAATAGACCCAGAAGCGTCAAATCCTCCTCGGAAATTGTCCTCGCCTGTTACGGCTAAATTAACGACCAGCGAATTAGGGACCACCGTAAAAACCAGGACCAGGACAACAGACAAAGCTCTTCATCCTGAAACTCCGTTTCCTACTACTCTTCGACATGAATCACCAGCACGAACTACAGAATCTATTACCGTGAAAATCGCTTCCAAGACAACTGATTCAAGTATTAATACCATTTCTTCTGAATCAGATGTTCTAGTTGGTCGCGTTGAACAATTACAGGCCGCTGTGAGCTTCGGTTTGTCTGAAATAATTAGCATTGTCGTAGTTTTGATTGCTGCAGTAGCAATAGCCACTGGTATTATTATTGTTGTGTTACGACGACGAAAAACTTACAAAAGAGGATCCGGTAGCAGTGGGTCTATTTTGTCTGAAGACAGCGATGTTCGTTTTTTAACTTCCGATGAAGTACTTGATTTTAATCTAGCGCGGCCGAATGAGTATGATGAAATTTGATTAATTATTCTTACCGTAGCTCAATAATTATTTTTATTTTTATTATTACTATCCTTTTTATTACTGTTAACAATTTATGAAGATTCATACTTATTAGCGTAATTTTATGTGTAAATAATTATAACTAAATGCTGAAAATTGACGATGATGATGATGATGATGATGGTGATGATGATGATGATGATGATGAAGATGATAATGATGAAGAGGTAATAAAAAAGTAATTTTTTTCTTTAGTTTTTATTTTAATAATCAAAAATACATTGTTGCTTAACGTACAAACTATTTTATTAGTTTTATGAGGTATGACATGTTGTATGATTTCATAGTTATTATGTAATCATAATGTGATTGCTCAGTCTTGCAAAAGCTAGATTATTAGAAGTTGTTTGGATGTTGGTTAATCATTATAAAAAATGGAAATAGAATTTTTTTATTTGTTATTGTATTATAATTATTATTATTATTATTATTATTATTATAAAAATAGAAATTTTTTATCATTGCTATAGAGATAACATTGAAAAAAATCCAATCGCTGCTCATGTTTAAAATTAGGTTTCGGCGGATAATAAGGCATAACGGAGAGGATACTTGTGATAACGTAAAATTTTACAATTTATAAAACAAGTTTTTATCGTTGTTAAAGTATTTTTCTTTTTTAAATTCAAGTAAAAAATAGTTTTATCTTAAACAAAAATAAAATTGAGCATTTTAAACAACCGAATTTGAAACTCTATAATTGCATGAGTTATTAATTATAAATTTTGTTATTTAGCTTTAAAAAAAACTGTTTTTGACAATTACGAGTTGAGAAAATGTAATTTACATGAAAATTTGAATAAAAAAAACTTAAAATTAGATCACCCTCATCTCAAAAATCTCTGAAAATTTTTGTTCTTCACATAAAACGTATTTTTTTTTATAGAAGTATATTAAACCTCTCAAGGCGTTATTACTTCACATTAAATATTTGATTTCGTTTTTGTTTATAGTAAAAATAATCATTTTTTGATCATATTTTACAGAAAATGTTCTCAAAAAATTATTAAAATCAAAATTTTTCGATAATATTCTTTTCATTACAAATATCTCTTAACTCGGCCTTATCACCGGCAGGTATTTTGTCATGAAGTAATTTTTACTTTTTAATAAATTTGAAATAAAAGAATTTCATAAACGATTTAGAATATATTTTTAGCGTGAAATTTATCTTATAAATGAAACATTTAAAAAATTTCTTACAATTATTATTAATAATTAATTTACAGGCTTGAATAGGTCAATTAATTCTTACAAAATCAGTTTTAATCAGCTATGGCATTTTAATAAGACTCAAAAGCTAAGAAATGAAGAAATTCTGCCATAAAAAAAGCATTAATATTAATAAGACTTTAAAAAAATAATCAAATTAAAATAATTTACCATGAAATTAAAATGAGTATGCAGCGATGAGAACTTCTGACGAAACTTCAAGTGAAAATGTAATATCCGTTGAAAAGCTACGTTAAATATTCCATTTTGATCTTTAACTTAATTATTTTATTTAAATATTCATTTTAATAAATAGTTAATACACTCAAGCTTTGGTATCAGCTTATGAAAAGGATAAAAGTTCTTATAAATACAGTAAAACAAAAATTATATTTACTTGCTAAAGAGCTTCAAGTAGTTTGTAATGAAAACTGGACAATTATTGTTCTTAAAAATTAAGTATTCTTTCAAAATTAAAACTAAATAGATTAATAATGAGGTGTAGGTTTGTTAACAGTTCCCCAGAACAAAATAAGATTTGAAGGATCATGTCTAATGAAGAACAAAAAGGGGCGATTGGCGTTGAAAATTTTCTGGCCCCCGGATTTGGCAAGAATAACGCCAGTCGCTGCGGCAGCAACAGTGCCGGTTTCGGTGATATCAATTTCAACTTTATGAAGAACATCGGAAGCATACAAACCAGGATTAACAAAGTTAGCGCTGTTTCTGAGTGCATCCAATCCGTAGGAGGGGAATCCTTTGGCCTGGATAAACCGCAGAAATCCGAGGTCAATCGGCCGATTTTGTCTCTTGCTCCGACGACCATCTCCAGTTAATTTAACTAGATTTTTATCGTGATCGAAGAACGGAGTTGATGAGGTCGCCCTTGGATCCTTAACTTCCTCTGGATTGAGATCGACCTCTCTCTTCTGAACGTTTCTCCGAATTTTTTCGAGATAAACCCCATTATCCCACTGCTGTATATCATAGCCACCTTGTGAATCTTTATACCTGAAGTAATTCTTCTTCTCAGAGAAGTCTTTTCCAGTTACTCCGTAAGTACCTGTGGTGCTGGCGGGGATGATTGGATCGGGATCATCGCTATTGATCCTAGAGAAAATAATGGAATCACTTGTAGATTGAGATGGATTTGGTGCATTATTTAAACCAGTTGATAGTAATCCTAGATTAGCTGCGCCTGGAGTAAACAATGAAGTGAGCCCCAGTGATTGTAATGCACGGTTTAGACTCAAAGTACTTGATAGTTTCATTCGTGGGATTGCGATTATACATGTTGAATTTATCATTTTGTTTATTAATGAATTTATAACTTCTGGAGTGATACGGGATTCCAGGTCATCCAGGGCATTTGAGTTCGTTGCGGTGGGTATTAAAGCGTACATTGTTGCCTCGGACTTTAATGAATATCCAGTAATTGCCTGTAAATCAGTTTAAAGATTATTATTATTTGGAGAAAAATTATTGTTATTATTGAATACGAGTTTTATGTAACAGCTATTGATTTTTGTGGTTTCAAATTTACATTTTTATAAGATAATTATAAATACTGATTGAATATCATGAACTTAAATTATTGATTCCAATAATTTTAATTAAAATAATATATTTTTGATAATCTAATCAGCTGAAGAAATCATCAATAAAGAATAAAACGCTAAAATAATGATAAATCTTTCAGATTTTTCTTAGATTATGTTGACAATAAAGGAAATGACGTACATAGATGGGCGCATTTAAAGCGCACGTAATTTGAAATAATTTTTTGCACCACGCATAATACGAAGCAATAAGATTGTAAAATTTTTTTCGTTTCCTCTCAGCAGTTATTTTGATTGTTATACTCTTGTATGTCATTTTTTTCTTTGATAGGCTTGTTTGATCCCTTTTGAAATTTGATATCTCTGTTATTACGCATAAAATACATACGGTAATTTTTGTTTCATATGCATATGCGCGTCATAATAACAGCTGGAGTTCAGTTCAATGAGAAAATACTGCGAATTTTTCGAAATAGAAATTACATAAAAAGTTAACAATAATAAATTTCTTTCTTTTATTTTACTTTGTAAGCATTATGAATCGTGCACTTTTTAATTTCTCAAAATAAATTTTTTTTAATACTTAAAACACAACTCAATTAGAAAATTCTTTTACTTTCAATACTTTATAAAGCATCTCAAGTAATTAATGAAATAATTTGCCAAGTATTCTTTTGTTCAAAGAAAAAACATTATTATATTATGACAAAAAGACTATTACACCAGAAAATACATAAAACTTTTTTTTTGAATCTAGAACAAATAAAAAAGAAAATAACTTACGGAATCACTGTCTTTATAAGGCAAGCCGAGAATTTTAACTCCAAGCTGTTTGTCTTCGTAAAATGGAAATTCGCCGCCGTTATACATCATATCGACATTAATTGTCTGCCCTGATGCGAGATAAAACGGTTTCCTAGAGTGATAGAGATTAAAAAAAGAAGAAATTCATATTATAAGATAAAGAAAATTGAGATTGAGATGAAGAGGATTTGAAACTTTTTTTCATGATAATGAACTACCTTTTAGTAGCGCCTTTGAAAAAATGTTGGTTCCATTCCCCGTTGAAGTATAATGCGGACGCTAAAATAACTTTACTGTCAGGATACGGTGGCTCCGATAAAATGCTGTTAATTTTTCCCCTTGTCTTCGAATTCACCCAATCGTTGATAATTCTTTGAGCTTCTGCGGGCCGTTGGTGAAAATCAACATTGATAACATCGTTTTTGTAAACATCGCGAGCGATTGCCGCGAATTCTGGCCGGATTGAATAGCCGCTTTGGACGAAAATACTCCCGGCAGAAAAGAGTTCTGAAGAATAAGTTCTGGCAGAGTCTCCACCAAATTTTATCGAATTCAAAAGGAGACCGAACATGTGATGGACTATTTCAGAGTGTCCTGAAATGTCAACTCCGGCTTCAAGTCCAAGGATCCTGGCTATTTCATCAAATGTCCTGCCTCCGGAACCCAAAAGGACGACCGCTAAAGTTCCTGCCAGATTTAATGGCGAGAAGACGATATTTTCTCGATCAAATCCCACGGATGTCCCTCGCTGATTTGCGTCAATTGCACGGTCCATATGTAAAGCGAATTTTGTGACTCCTTGCGACAGGATGTCGTTTACCTGGAAAATAGTTTTTATTTAATTATTTATTAATTTACTTTTATTTTTTTTTTTATGGACAAAAATAAAATGGTATTTAAGTATCATCGATAAAATTAAGAGAATAAGGGAAATTTTGTCTCCGATGTATTTATATGATAAAATGAGTTTTTTAAATTAAATTTAGTATCATTGGAAATGTCTTTTGACTTGAATTTGTACCTTTTTAATCTTTCATATGCTTTTCGGCAATAGTTAATTGTTTAAGATAAGTTTTCGAAGTATAGTTAAAATAGATTCGAATTTCACGATAAACGTCATTTGTTTATTTATTAATTTTGTTTCGTACATGTGAATTCGGTTATAAGTCAAAAATGAATTTATATAATTAAGAGAATAAGAAAAATTTTGTAACGAGTATATCTTTAACGAGATATCTTTATCGTAGATTGGTTTTGATATATTTTCAGTGATGTTCATTTATGATTTAAGTAATTGAGAGAGTAAGGAAAATTTTGTGACGAGCATATTATTATTTTTAAAGGAATTTTTATAATTAAATTTGGAGCAGTTTTTAATAATTTGTTGGTTCTATAAATTTGTTCCGTCACAATTCTCTATTAAATTATTTGTAATTGATCCTGTCATAGCACTTTTATTTTTCAAATTTATTTCAAAAGTACTCAAACTTTGTAAAATGTAATTAGCAATATCAAAAAATCATTAAGCGAAAGTTTTCTCATTCATAATTCGTAAATCTCAGCAGTCGCATATAGTGATTGCAAGTTGCTAATTTATCATGGAAGAAGAAATGACATTTTTATCTCGATTTTGATGAAATAATAAACGATATGAAACTTAAACATTAAATACATTAACCTACTTATGAATTAATAATATAGATACTTGGCTTAACCAAAATTTGCCTTACTCTCTTAAGTAATACGGATAATAAATAAACTTACGTGATCACTCCAATATTGCTCCTCGCTGTTAATAGTATTGTTAGTAATATTATACACATTGGGTCGTAATCCGGCGGCGACATTATTGACATTACCCACATCAAAATTAATTGCCGGTCCTAGATTTTGTATAGCCGGTGAACTCACAGCACTGAACGACGGAAAAGGTCGTCGATATTGGCCTCTATTTCCATAATAAGGCACCGGATTGCTCGGTTCATAATCTTGAGGGAATATTATTTGTAAATCGACACCCACAAAACAGAACAATAGTATCACCAGTGAATTTATTTTCATCATTTTTTAAGTCTAAATAAATTCATGAAAAAATAAAACAATAAAATTATTATTTAAGTACAATGCGTTTCATTGATTCTTTACGGTCGGAAATTTTACAGAAAATGGAAACATCAAATTTTGGAAATCTGTGAGTAAGGAAATCAATAAATGAAAAATATGGAAAAATAAGATTTCAGAAATAATAAAAAAATGATGTGTCTTATTGAGGATACTTTGCAATATCGATTAGTTAAAAAATAGCAATGAAAAAATGTAGTAATCAAAATAATTAGAATTATTTTAAAAAAGATAAGCGTAAAATTATAAAATCAAAAAAAAAGATTTCCGTGAAATTAGACGCATCAGAATATAAACATCTAAAATGACTGATATTTAAAAAAAAAAAAGAAAAGAATAATAAATTCAGACAAGTCGAAAAAAAGACAATTATAAATTTAGAAACATAAAAAAATAGACAATCATTAATATTCGTAAACTTAAAATATAGAAATCTGTTAATATAGACCAATAAATTTTGATATCTGTAATTATGGAAATCTGTAAATAACGGATAAATATAAATTCTGATAATTTTTATAAGAAAGACAATTGTAAACGTAGTCATCATACGAATTGAGAGCGAAGGAATTTAAAATACAAAATATAACAGAGAGGAGATATATTTTCCAGTGACCGCTGCTCCGGGAAGTTGTCAAGTTGTCAGCGACAGATATCCCTACAATTACCAGTAGCTCCTGTGACCGCTGCTCCAGGAAGTTGTGAAGTTGTCGGTGACTCTGTGTCCTGGATTTTTTAAAAATATAAAGATTTATCTCCCGATACTGGTATTAAATATTTTTAAAGACTGATAACTGCCACCAGCTCTTGTGACCGCTTCTCCAGGAACTATTGAAGTTGTCGACAACAGATTTCCCTATAATTTTTATAAAAAACCAAGATTTATGTTTAGATCTTTTTTCATAATCTTATCCAATTATTTTCTAATTCGTGAATATTTTTTTTCTAAATTTTTATCATTCATTTGTTTATTTAATTATAAACAAATAGTTGTGATATTTTTTATTGGTTATAATAATTTGTTATCCATAAGTCGATGGTGATGGATCGTAAGTCTAAATATATTGGTGACAGAATGAGGGTTTGATGCGTTCGGATTAAGCGCACCACCGCCCCGGG